CGCTATGAGTCAAGCTATGCGTATGCTTTGCTGTTTAGCATTTTGTAGTGAATGTGGATGATTAATGCTTATCTGCTACAAAATCGTTTTTTTACTTCCTTCAGCCAATTTTTATTCTTATACAATTAGAATGAGTCTAATCTGTTCTTCTTATGTTCAGTGAAATCATTCTACAATAGATAGACACACAGTGATGCCAGCATATAAAGAATAAAGAAGTTCTTAATCATATAGTTTGGACATTTTACCTCTGCCTACATTAACTGCCAACTTACAGATAAATGTCTTATTTTCGAATTCATTAGTTTTTATATTATTTGTAGCATTTTAAAGTTTACAGAGGATAAAGTATGTACTCATGCAAATGTACAAAGTGTAAATCGTGTAGTTAAATTACCTAGTATATTTTATTTTTAACGTACTCTTTTAAAGATGACTCGAATGAGTGCTCCTTCCGAGTGTTTTTCATTAATTTTCCCAACTTGAATCTTCGTTTTGGAAAATGTTCTTTCTTATTGTAATCAGCAACTGTACTGTATCCGAAAGAGCTATTTTTAAAGAAGCCTATCGCCTATTCGTACGACTCTTTCGCGTTTCTTATATGGTCGTCCATGGTTCCTTGCGACCTGAGACGCGAAGCGTGTCTTTTAACTGTGCCACCTCCTCCATCACAGGGGCCTTTTCCATGTGATGTAGCAAAGAGATATCATTCAACATTTAAATTAAAATCCTTTTTGAAATTCGCAGGATTTATAAGATTTGACTTATTTTTGTACTGGGAACCAGCGCCGTCAGAAAAAAAATTATTTCTTCACATTATCTGATGCAAACTTGGTTTTCAAACATGTAATCATTTGCTAATTGCACTCTGAAATAATTACGTAATTTTCATAATGCAGGACTCCTTGAATATCTGGGTAATATATGTATCACGTAAGGGTGAATTTTTCCTGTTGCTTGAACATTTGTTCATTGGTAGGATTGGACGATATCATTTCTTCGTCACTATTGGAAGTTACCAAAGCGATAGTTACTCATTTCACAAAATCAAAAAATATTTCTGTCACTTTTCTATCTTTTTAAAGATGGCCCGAAGATTTTTACCCGTGGAAGTTTTGAAAATTAACAAAGCAAACAGTGGAGGTTCATTCAAGATTAGTTAGATGTACGTAGGTACTATTTTTATTTTCTCAATCCTTTTTGATTTTTCAATTAACGTGCAGGCAACGGGGAAACTATATCATTATTATTATTGCATTCGAATAACAAAAAAAAACAAGTAAGAAAGTCTAAGTTCGGGCGGAGCCGAACATTAAATA